TCTATTTCGATGCATTACTTTCTAAAATGGAGATTTCAACTTTTGTCATTATTATTTTAAACAAAAAAATACTCCTACAAAACGTTAGGTGACAGATTAAATAAAACTTTTAAGTTGTCACAAAATTCCGTCAAAATCCCGCCGCGCCGTCGTCTAAGCTGCGCGCCAAAATTAGGAAAAGAGACATCTGGCACATCAACTGTAAACTATTCAAATGGGGAAAACATTGATGTTTACCATCTATTGGCGGCTGATTTTCTCCTATACTTAAATTTAATAATTTTTAAGTTATGGTGACTTTTTGTTAAGACTGCCGAAAATCTATTACTAGCCACATCCGTTTTCGTATAGTTTGTTATGGAAATCAAAAATGTGAAAATTGTTTCTCAATAAACGTCAACAGTGACTTATTATTTGACAAATAGTGTCAAAATATGGAGAGTCAAAGATACTCAAACTTATATTTAATTTATTTATTTTGTATTTATGGAGAGTGTAACAAAATTATAATAATTAAGTTTGCATAACTTTGATTCTTCATATTTTGGCACTATTTGTCAAATAGTAATTTACTGTTGATGTTTGTTTAGAGACATTTTTGACATTTTTGATTTCCATAGCAAACTAAGTGAAAACGGGGTGGCTAGTAATAAATTTTCTGTAGTCTTAACAAAAAGTCCATAACTTGAAAATGATTAATTATAGGAAATGTTAATACAGATCAATGCACAATTAAATTCTCTTCTATTTAGTAAAATAAAAATTGGTATATTTGAATTATTACACAAGTAACCTTAAAATTTTAGGTTTTGTTATTTTTTTTTCAAAATTTGAAAACACCGGAAGGAAGATCCAAACTTTCTCTTTCAAACGCCAGAAAAAACGAATTCAAAATCTCAAAAATTGGCAGAGTTACCGATTTCTAAAGTGGAAGCTGCAGATCCAAAAATTTTTGAAAAATTCCAAATATTTCAAAAACGGCTAAATTTAAGTATAGGTAAAGCTGATGAAAACTCCCTTATAATAAACCGATTAATCCAAAAACGCAGTAAAAAATATACCTTTCCATTTAAAATAAGAAAGTTAAGACCGACTTCCGGTATAACCGGAAGTGCCGCCATCTTGAAAATATTTTCATTTAGTAGGACTTAATGGTTTATGGCTATGTACCAATTTTCGAATAAATACGATTATTCGATCTCCCAATCCTTCTAATGAGCGGTTTAGACGGAACACCCTGTATATTTCAGTGTAGTTGTTCGAATAGATCACGGTTCTCTTCGATACAAAATGTCAATCGTCTTTTAAAAGACAAAGTTGACTATAGTTAGTCTTGGCGGATTGACTGAAATGCTTCAGAAATTCTATTTTTCATATTTTCAGCCGTCGTTGGTTTGACCTTATGAACTTTTACCTTCACATTTTTTCACAACACAAGAAAATGTCCATCGGTGTTAAATCGGGAGATCGAGGCCGCTAAGCAATAGGGTCTTCTCTTCCTGTCCACCTATTAGGAAAAAAATCATCCAAATTTTGCCGAATAATTCTGTAATAGTGCACCGGAGTGCCTTCTTCTTGTAGCCACAATTCTCTTATTGTGTTTAAATCAACATTGCAACATATTTGGCAGTCTCTTTCTGAATCATTTCCGCTGTTTTTAATTTATTTGATAAAGAATTCTCCACATAGCTTTCTGCGACATTAGACATCTTCCATCCACCGTGACGTTTGATGGCCATAAGATCGCCACTAGCATTAGCCAATGATGTAGCTGAGGAGCGTCACATGCTATGACCAGTTTAGGAACTGGCATCCGGTAATTGCAGAAAAGAAGCCACTGCAGCAGGTATTGTTGACATGATGTTGATACCCACAGATTGGCATCTGTATATCGTAAAAAAAATGCCCTCGCCCTGTGTAGGATATATCTCCTACACATATCCAGAGCGTCAACAGAAAAATCCTCTTCCATTGCTGTAAAACTTCGTGAAACATAGGTTTTTGTGTCAGCATAAAAAAATTAGAGTAGGCGTCGATTAAATTCTACAATTGGAAACACATTGGCTGAAAATCTGGGCTGGAAATTTTCCACACAATCTGAAAGTGAAAATGATCATTCACCGTTTTCGTCTTGTTCAGCAATAAAAATTTTCTGCTCTAAAGTGAACATTATTTTACTCAAAAGGAATAAAACGCAAAACATCCTCAGGAAGACCTGGTGTATCGCAAGAAACTGTTGAAAATGTGAGACAGGGAATCGAAGAAAATCCCAGAACTTCGCTGCGAAGAATATCTCAACAGATTAATGTTCCTTTGAGCACTTGTCACAAGATTGCCGGTTTCATCCTTATAAAATCAGTACTGTTCAGGAACTTTTGCCACCAGACTATCAACATCGTGTTCAGTAATGCAATTGGTTTCAAAATCACTTGAACAACAATGACTTGCTAGACCTTTCTTTTTTCACTGATGAGGCATGGTTCCATTTATCGGGATATGTTAATTCACAGAATTACAGGATATGGAGCTCTGAAAATCCCCACGCCTTTGTTGAAACACCTTTGCATCCACTCAAAATTGGGATATGGTTAGCCATATCCCGGAGACGAATAATTGGACCAATTTGTTTTCATCAAACAGTTACTGTCCAAGTTTATAGAGAACAAATTTTAAATGTGTTTATTAACCAGTTACACGATGATGAATTAAGACAAGGATATTTTCAACAGGACGGTGCTACAGCCCACACTGCACATACATCAATTGAATACCTTCAACAATATTTTGGTGACAGAATTATTAGCAGAGGAACAAATATTCCTTGGCCCGCTCGTTCACCAGATCTAACTCCTCTTGACTTTTCTATTTTTGGTTACATTAAAGACACCGTTTTTAAGCACAGGATCGAAAATTTAGATGAATTAAGATTACAAATCGAAAATTGTTGTACTGATATTGGGGAAGAAATGTTGCAAAACATATTTGAAAATAAAAAAAGACGCGTTAGACTGTGCTTACAGCAAAATGGGGCTCATTTTCAACATTTTCTTTAAGTTTTAATAAATTATTTTTGTAACGTGTTGTTTCAATTTATTTAACATAGATTTGACAACAAAATATGGATTTAATTTTCTACTTTCTTTTAAGTTTTAATATTTTTTAAGGGTAAGGGTAAGGGTTTTAGTGGGCAACGAATAACTCAAAGTGTCGTAAAGACCATAAGAAAATGATTATTTATTTTAATTTTTTTATTTTTGAACTAACCCGTGCGGTTTAATTGGGTGCACTTCCTGTGCAATTGACTTAGACTGGCCCACTCTCACCGAAATTACCACGAGGTGGACCCAATCAAATAGTACGGAGTTTACATTGCGTATTAATAAATTGGAAACACTTTTCATAAGTGAGGTTTCAATTCAGCCAAACGTTAGACATCACTTGATAGTTGACATTTCCACTACTTACTTGAAACAATTTTAGTCTAGTCTTGTGAATTCAGTCTATAATCTGCCATAGTGGACACCCACCAAGATTTGAAACACCTGTGTTTATTGGTTTGTGGATCCCTGTACACGCACTGTAGGTACCCTACCTCTGTCATACAAAAAAATCATTATGAGCACTTGAACACCAGCAGAAAGAAAGCATCTTCACAAATTTATAAGCGAAAAATCATCTTCAAATAATCCAATAGAGGATCTCATAAATTCTTTTTAAAAACGATATGGATCCAATATCGTTTCCAAAATTAATTTATTCTGTATTTTTCACATGAATCCGACCTGAGTCTGGGGATAAACCATCTTCCTGTAGAAGCCACGATATCTAAAAGTACGCAATTCTTTGTCAGATGAAGAGTGCAGTCTGTTCAGTGTCTAATTCCATTTCACCATACTTGATTTTCTATGAAAATTGCTAAAAAGCACAGCAAAATTGAAAAAACGACGAAACTTTTTGACAGACGAGTATTAACATAACTTTACTTTTTTTTTATTTAACCTGTGAATGTGGATACTGCGTTAAAGTTATTGGGAGCTTCAAGTTATGTTACCTACCGATCTAAGAAGACTCTGAAGTGCCGGGACGAGCCCTGAAGCCCGAATTTGGAACAAAGAGATTACATTTAGAAATCATCATGTGACGACGATGTGGAGCAATGGAGCCCTCCAAGAAAGCTTCATGGGACTTTTAGACACTTTTCTCGGACAAACGTTAAATTTCACTTTCACACTCATTTTTGCTCATTTGATCATTTATTCAACCGATAAATTTGACGGATTGAAAGTACTGAATTCAAAATATCAGTGAAGCGGCAAATGGTTGTTAAAAACATGTTGACATAATTTGCAAAGAAAACTTGATGCCCAGACATTTATAAACACCTTGTACAATAAATAACAATTTACCTTTGCAATTTTGGTATAAAATCAACTAAATTTTTTTTGTTTTTGTTTTCTTTTTTCTAGCTTGGTAATTTTTTATAACAAAAGAAAGACCATCATGAATAGTCATGATAAGACTTATTGCTGGCTTTATTAGATTTGTACCTTGACAAGTTGTTTCGCATAATGGCCCCCTTCAAATTGCCGATTCGGATCTTTATATTTGTAAGCCACCCTTCAGCGACAGGGCGTCTTACCTAGACATTTTTGTGCCTCTATGTTTTCTACAAAGAATTCCGGTAAACATTTTTCCTCGAATATTTGAATTGCTCTGATGAAAATCAGCACGGAACGATGCTTTCATTATAATAGTTTTCTTTTTACATATACGTGTCAACACAAAGTAGTGACAATTTTAGATTAGTTTTCCACACAGTGACCAAAACAATTGTCCTTGGGGTTTTGACATGGTGTTACTGATCTTATAATAACAAAATCGAAAATTGGCACACTTTAATTGCATGTGTTCTTTCTTGTTAGGTGATAATGTCATCAAAATTGAAGTGCTTTTGTTATCGAGTCAAGATAATTCTGATGAAATTTTGTAAGTGATAAAAATCTGTATAAATAAAGTATCAGAATTTTAAGAATTCAGTCGAAAATGGACCGAATTTTAGTTATTACATTTGCTCTCATTGCTAGTGTCTTAGGTATTTATTAAATTTATTTTTTAATAATGTGGGCTACAATAGTCTTTTCTTTAAAGGAGCCCCACATCACAATGCGAGAATTTTTGGTGGCGACAATGCAACTCTTGGTCAATTCCCATTCATCGTCGCTCTTAACAATGTGGACCAATTCTGTGATGGTTCTATTATCAATAAAAATTGGGTTGTTACAGCTGCTCATTGCATCTTCTATGTATCAAACAATTCTACCACAGTTTTAGCAGGAACAAACAAACTGCACTCTGGTGGTATTTCCTACAATGTATCTCAAGCTCTCTACCATCCAGAATTTAACTTCACGAGTTTCCAAAACGACATCGGTCTTATTCATATCGTCGGAGAATTTGCATTCACTGACAATATTCAACCAGTCGAATTTATTGAACCAGAAATAAACGCTACTTGTCAAGCTGTTGGATGGGGACAAAGTGACACCTTGACTTTCCCTGAAACTCTACAATTTGTTGAATTGACAGCCTTGGGGTTGGATGATTGTAAAAGAATTGCCGGTGATTATGCTGAAGGCCTTTATTTGGAAAAAGAACAAATTTGTGGTTTGGGACATGACGGACAGGGGGCTTGTTATGGAGATTCAGGTGGACCACTGGTGTGCGATGGCAAACTAGCTGGAATTGTTTCTTATGGTTTGCTGCCTTGCGCTCATAGCATTCCCGATGTGTATACACGACCATCGCAATATGCTGATTGGATCAAAACAGTAATTAAATCCTAAATAAATTATTTAAGGTGCACTTATTAAAGTCTCTAAATATCGTTTATGTTTGATTTGAATTTTGTCCTTTTATCATTAGGAAATTGTCTTGTCTTTGTATTTGTTCAAATAAAACTATTCCACATTGTGCATATCAATTTCCATCTAGAAATTCTGCAGAAGTCTTATAATAGGCTAGCATTTCCAACAACCATAAACTTGTTTTTTTTTTCTAATCTGATTATTTGGAAAATGTGTGGTCTTGTTACTGCAAACCGACAAGCAACCGACAACCTACGTGTTTAATTTTTCCATTGGTTTTTAAATTTTAAAGTATATCTAAAACGTTGATTTCTTTTGAATACCTATTAAATTAATTTGTTTTTAGAATACAAACATAGTTTTAGTGCATAAGCAATCAATCAGCTCAAGAAAACGGATGAAGAAGGTTACGCAATTATTGACAAAATAATTAGTCTAATGTTCAATAATTACTATTTGCCCAGGAATAGTACCAATTGATCAATAAAAATCAATTCCTACTTATTGTTTTTATTAATTAAAATACAGATTTTTATTTATTTGACGTCCCATTTCTACTGGGTAACCGGCGACAACTTCATCCCAAATAGGATCAAGATCCCATGCTTCTTCAACTTCCACGTCTATGGGTGATTGCAGTTTTTCTTCAACTGCAATGGCATTTCTTGTAAAATACTTCACAATCATAATGAACTGAACAAATATTTCCATTGTTGTCGCAAATTATCCATGGTTGGCATTTCCTCAACCTTGTTTGATAGAGAATTCATATTTAATGTGTGGGGATCTACACCCCCCACCCCCCCAAAGTACTTATTTTAGATAAATACCTATATATCTACTTTCTTGATCTTGAAATATTCACTCATCATACTATGTTAAACATAAAATATAATAAAAATTATACTTTAAACAGTGACTGGTTAAATACTTGCCTGACGTTTAAACTTTGTTTTCCCAAAATTTACACACTAATAACAGTAATAACTAAACTAAAAAGAAAAAATGCATAAATTACACTGACCGGCATAATTATCGCATCACTTAAATTTTAAGATTTAAAATGGCTAAATGGTTATTAAGCATTGAAAAATGCTAAAAATTGAAAAATAGTTTTTTAAAACAAAAATTTACAGTATGAGATATTTACTTGTGTGGTTCTTCAAAGATGTTAGACGTATTTCTCAAATCAAGATATTCCTTGAAGTCTCCACGTTGTAACTCAAACTTGTACAAGATGGTTTACAATCGCATTTTGTTGTAATTCCTGACATTTCATTTTGTAATTCTTGAATACTTAATTCTCCTAAAAAAATTGAAATTGAAAAAGAAACCAAAAATTACCAAATAATTTCTAATTTACTGTCAACTTCTTTTGCACAGTCAAGACTATCAAAACCATAAATTTTCGTATTTCCAATTCCAAAAAAAAAAACATTTAAAAATTCTCAATTTTCCAAATACACGTAATTACTTGGCATAAAATAATGGACACATCCACAGTGATTTAAGGTAAAATTTGTCCAAGACTCAAATTGACAATTTTGTTGTGTATAGATCTTAAAATATTTCAACTGACGAAAATTTCCCATGTAACAATTCCTTTTTTCCGGTTTGTATTTTCGAACAGAGTCAGCAGTTTGAATTAATTGTGGTTCAATCGATGCTGTTACAATTTCATCAAGAGGTATTTGAAAACAAAATTTGCTGGATCGAATAATTTCAGTAGGATTATTTTTGAGACACGCTGTATAGTTGAAAATATTTTCAGGCGATGGACTAGATTAGTATCATTGATTATGTATCAATGTCCCATTTTTTTTTTTAATTTTACCATTTAAAGGTCGCAAATAGACTTTTTCAACTAGCTGGAACACGTTGTATATTGGAGCTTAAAGTCTTAAGTTTTTTGAAATTTAACAACCTCAAATTTTAACTCAAAGCAAAAGTTGCGGGCAAATGCTAGTTGCTTACATATGAGTTCGGAAAATCTCATTTTTGCCTAATAAATAAATAAATTAATTAATTAATAAAATAACAAGTTCTGTGATAATAAGAAGAACAAGTTTCATATTCCACCTTGTTCAAAATGTTCAAGATATATTTTGCTGTATCCATACTTTTTAGCGAGCCTGTATGTTTGTTATATTGCGTGGAATGAAAGGACGAATTAGATCTAGATACTGTTTCGACAACGGCCGTTGTCTTCTTCAGGCAATATTAATTTGGGTGGGTTTGATGTTATCATGATGGGGCAAATTGGGTCCTGCCACATTAGTTTACATCGAAAATAATAACATCGAATCCACAATTACAATAAAATTTTATATTACAATAAGAATTTTAAATTGTCTGTACGACACGAATAAACATTATAACAGCGAGGTTAACAAAATGGTCCCACATGAATTTTCGTCACTTTCAATTACATATTTCTATTTGAACAAGTTTACCAATTTTCTTTATTTTCGATAACTTATCGTTTGACTTTCTTGTAAAACAAAGGTAACTCAATAAAAGCTCTTCAAATGAAACTAAGGTACACTACACTGTTAGTTTATTTCATTGTTGTTTTCTATAGTGAGTTGTGGCATAGTATTAATATTTTGTTAAGGGCTGTACTTCTGGTCTTAATTTTATTACATTTGTAACAGTACCTACTATTGGTATCGCTACATGTCATATTATACAGGGTGATTCACAAGGAATAATGAGCCCGACCAAATTCTCAATGCAACCAATATTACATTTGTCGCAAAGAAACTTGCAAAAATGTAATGGTACCCATTATTTTTGTTTTATTAACTTTCATTTTACTTATCAACTGTTACCCATAAGAATGTAATGAAACTTGAAATAAACTTACAATTACTCCCTAAATTTACACAATTGTGCCATGAAAATATATACTTTGTTGTTTTGTGATTCCTACTATTGTCAGTATCGAGTGGTTTCATCAGGTTAAAATAATTGCAACAAAATTTAGTAAAAGATAACATTGTCTATAAATAATTGAATAAAATTTAATAATTAATGTTTTGCATCGCCTTTACATTATTTGCACCACCCTGGAAAATAAGTAAAGTGTCTTGGGAAGTAAATTGTAGCAACCTCTAATGCTCTAGGGCATAATCAACTTTAAATTAAAAAAAAATACTGTAGATCAATTAGCCCAAAATTGTTTCCAAATTCACAATGTTTTATTTATATTAAAAAAGAGAAAAAACTGTTTTTGTTTTCTTTTTTCTAGTTTGGTAATTTTTTGAATTGCTTTCGTTATAATAGAAATTTTATTTTTACATAGGTATATGTGAATTTTTTGTCAAGGTCCGATTGGTCCGCAAATACTCCCTAAAGTAGTGACAATTTTAGACTAGTGTTCTACACAGTGACCACAACGATTGTTCTTAAGGTTTTGGTGTTACTGATCTTATAATAACAAAACCGGAAATTGGCAAACTTTAATTACAACTGTTTTTTTTTTTGTTAGGTGATAATGTCATCAAAATTGAAGTGCTTTTATTTTATTATCGAGTCAAGATAATTCTGATGAAACTTTGTAAATGATAAAAATCTGTATAAATAAAATAACAGAATTTTAAGAATTCAGTCGAAAATGGACCGAATTTTAGTTATTACATTTGCTCTCATTGCTAGTGTCTTAGGTATTTATTAATTTTTTTTTTATAATTTGGGCTACAATAGTCTTTTCTTTACAGGAGCCCCGCACCACAATGTGAAGATTTATGGTGGCGACAATGCAACTCTTGGACAATTCCCATTCATCGTCGCTCTTAAGAATGTGGACCAATTCTGTGATGGTTCTATTATCAATAAAAATTGGGTCGTTACAGCTGCTCATTGCATCTTTGATGTATCAAACAATTCTACTACAGTTTTAGCAGGAACAAACAAACTGCACTCTGGTGGTATTTCCTACAATGTGTCTCAAGCTCTCTACCATCCAGAATTTAACCACACAAATATTCAAAACGACATCGGTCTTATTCAAATCGTTGGTGAATTTGCATTCTCTGACAATATTCAGCCAGTCGAATTTATTGAACCAGAAATAAACGCTACTTGTCAAGCTGTTGGATGGGGAGAAACTAAAACTGTGGCTTTCCCTGAAACTCTACAGTTTGTTGAATTGACAGCCTTGGAGTTAGATGATTGTAAAAGAATTGCTGGTGATTATGCTAAAGGCCTTTATTTGGAAAAAGAACAAATTTGTGGTTTGGGACATGACGGACAGGGGGCTTGTTATGGAGATTCAGGTGGACCACTGGTTTGCGATGGCAAACTGGCTGGAATTGTTTCTTATGCTTTGCTGCCTTGCGCACATAGCATTCCCGATGTGTATACACGACCATCGCAATATGCTGATTGGATCAAAACAGTAATTAAATCCTAAATAAATTATTTAAGGTGCACTTATTAAAGTCTCTAAATATCGTTTATGTTTGATTTGAATTTTGTCTTTTTATCATTACTAAATGGTCTTGACTTTGTGTTTGTTCAAATAAAAATCTTCCACATTGTGCATATCAATTTCAATCTAGAAATTCTGCAGAAGTCTTATAATAGGCTAGCATTTCCAACAATCATAAACTAAAAATTTTCTTCTAATCTGCTTATTTGTAAAATGTGTAGTCTTGTTATTGCAAACCGACAAGCATCGAGAGGAATTGCAATATTGTTTACCAAAAACTGATCTTGAAGTCGAAATCATGAACAAACAATTAAAAAAAAATTGTATGGTTTTTAGGAAACCACGATACAAGTGAAACTTTTTTTCGGTTCGTAGGCATTTAACTGAAAATTTTCGGAAAATTATTTTATTTAGGGTATTAAAATTGCGTTTTTAATCTTATCTTACGATGTAATTGAAAAATAGGAATGATAATGGGAAATCAATAGTAGACAAGACAAGAACCATAAATTTCAATTTTAATCTGCATATTAGACGCATGTTAAAAACTGAGAACATTTTTTTAAATCATTGAATCACTTTGAACTTCAATTATTCTATCAATAACTTCATCTTCGCCTTAAGTCTCACGGTCTATAAATGTAACTAATATTTTATGGTAATTAAAATAAGTAAACAATGACTTGCATTCTATTTTTTCAATGTAGTATCTAGTAAAAACCGCATCGATCGTAGTACCATATCTCGTGGTTGGTATATTTCTATCACTTTTCATTTCAACACTAGCTGTATCGTTGTCCATGACAATCAAGTGAACAACAACATTTACATCAATACACTGATCAAAACACACAAATAACGCTGAGCACTTGCACGAATGAGTAAGAATATAAATGCTACACGGTCAGCTGATGCGAGCCATGGGCGCCGCCATATTGGCCTTGGTTACTCGCCCGCCTTTCACTTTACTCTGCGGCCGGCTGTAATGCGACATGCGATAGATGGACGAAAATTTTTGAGGCGATGGAATAAAAGTTTCACTTTAATAAAGCATTATAAACAAAACTTTTTCTGCAAATTTTGTCGCACTAACTACTACTAACTAACTAACTAATTTTTTTGATATGCCTAATACCTATGTTATCATGTTTCTAAAAAATCTAAAAATTGAGGTCAGGTCAGTTTTCAAGTCAGACGTTATTAAAATAATAATTCTAACAAACATTGCTAGTCATGTTTCTTATGTTGTAAATAGATGTCAACCATTTCCAGAGCCAGATACAGGGTGTGTCAATTAAAATTAAACTTATGTTTGTTACAATTGTTGGATCCAAAAACTTGAAATGTTTATGATTCAAAGTACAGGCTGATTCACGAGGAATAATAAGCCTGACCAAATTTTCGATCAACATTACAGTTATTTTGCGACAAGTAGAGTAATGGTGGTTGCATCGAGAATTTGGTCAGGCTCATTATTCCTCGTTAATCTCCTTGTATATTAAATGCAAATTAATTGATATTAATTAGAATTAGGCACCCCTGACCATCTGCCATACAATTTCAAGTTATAATAAATCCTAAGTGTTAAAAAATAAATTATTTCAATTATGGAAATTAAGGAAAATCCAATAAACAATCCGAAAAGTCCTCCAATATTCGCTATAAAATCCGACACTCCATGAATTGCCAGAAATTGGTCCATTTTGCCTAAAAATAATTTTTCAAAAAAGAAATTTACAGCATGAGATATTTACTTGTTTGGTTCTTCAAAGATGTCAGATGTATTTCTCAAATCAAGATACTCCTTCATATAGAAGCGACTATTTGAAGTCTCCACGTTGTAACTCAAACGTGTATAAGATGGTTTACAATCGCATTTTGTTGTAATCCCTGACATTTCATTTTGTATTTCTTGAATATTTAATTCTCCTAAAAAAATTAAATTGAACAAGAAACCAAGAATTATTAAATAATTTCTAATTTACTGTCAACTTGTTTTGCACAGTCAAGACTATCAAAGCCACAAATCTTCGTATTTCCAATTCCTAAAAAAAAGCATTTAAAAATTCCAGATTTTTCCAAATAAACGTGATTACTTGGCATAAAATAATGGACACATCCACAGTGATTTAAGGTAAAATTTGTCCAACACTCAAATTGACAATTTTGTTGTGTATAGATCTTAAAATATTTCCCATGTCATTTCCCATGTAACAATTCCTTTTTTTTCGGTTTGTATTTTTGAATAGTCAGAAGTTTGAATTAATTATGGTTCAATCGATGCTGTTACAATTTCATCAAGAGGTATTTGAAAACAAAATTTGCTGGGTTGAGGAATTTCATTACGATTATTTTTGAGACACGCTGTATAGTCGAAAATAATTTTAGGCGATGGACTAGATTAGTATGTATCAATGTCCCATATTTTTTTGTACACCATCGAACAGCACGACACCACGATCAAGATTGAATTGAATTTTGATTGAGTCTTGGGTCGTATATGTATGGAAGGCCCCCTTGCCCTTTTGAGCCGAGGTTGCCCTTTTTGCCCCCTTTTTCTAATAATTGTGATTACTTGGAATACTATGATAACTTTTAGGGTTAGTAATTAAATGAATTTTTCCCTTATCTTGGTCGTATTCTGCTTCACTTTTGACCTTTACATCCTGGATGCGCTCGTTATCATTGGGTTCTCAAGAATTTTGTTCTAATTTTGGTATTTGACATGTCCCAGACAGTTTATGAATTTTGGTGATTCTTTGATCCTAGATAGTGTGGGATAGTTTGTTTATCAATTTGCTCCAGACTATTTATTGGGGTGACCACTTAGTTGGGGTGGCTGACTTGTAACCTTTGGGCGGATAAACCGCTGAGATGCTATTTTCGTTTCTGGGAAAATTTCCTTATCGACTGAATTTTTATTGGGGTTGTCTCGTGACCTTTGTAGGAGGATATGAGTTTTAATTGTTATTTAAATTAAATTGTCGTCTTCTCTTGTTTATGTGATTGTTCCTTTCCTTTTACTTTTTCAATAAAATTAGGTGGACCAATTTGGCCCACTACACTACGACTGATTGAGATGCGACTTCCGGGTAAGTCAAGCAGCGAAATTGCTTTTGTAGCCAAAAGTAGCAAAAAGGCTCAAAATAGTCAAGTGACAAAAAATAACAAAATGTTTTAAGTGTCATGAGACGAGACATTTTGCAAAAAACTGTCCGAAGAAAATAACGTCGTGTCCGAAAAAGTTTTCTAATAGTAGCGGTAGTACACACGTGGAAGGTGACGCGTTCCTAGGCGAGTGCGAAAACGCAAAAAACACTGATATGTGGTTAGCAGACTCAGGGGAATCTACTCACATGACAAGTAATAAAGACATTTTCATCGAATATAAACCTTTTGTTACGCCTAAGTTAGCGACAGTAACAAAATAAAGGCATTTGGAAGTGGCATCATGAACCTGGAAATGCTGATTTGGAAGAAGTGTCTTCCAAACCACTTGGCTGATGTGTGGTTTGTGCCAGGAATCAACAAAACTCTGTTTTCAACTTTGCAAACAATCAGCAGAGGCTACAAATTCGAAACCAACAACAAGGGCTGCTACGTAAAAAGAAATGGAACTGTGCGCTTAACAGGAAGAAAATTGACAAGCGGACTTTACGCATTAAATATGCGTGTATGCACTCCAAAAATCGCAACTGAGATACATGTAGCATCGACAGTTGACACGGTGCGGTTATGGCATGAAAGACTATGTCATCAAAACAAAAAGCATGTAATAAGGTTTCTAAAAAGAAAGGGAATCGAGTTAGAAACGGACGTGTGTGGTCCCATGCAAGAAGAGTCAATTGGTGGAGCGAAATATTTTGTGTTTTAAAGAGGATTTTTCAAAATAACGGCGAGTGTTCTTCATAAAAGCAAAAAGTGAAGTGGCGAATTGTTTAAAAACATTTCTAAATGAGGCGACTACAGCTGGACACAGAATAGAACAGTTTTTAAGTGACGGCGGAAAAGAATTCGACAATGCAGAAGTTAAAGAAATTTTTCAAACAAAAGGAATTACTTTTCAAAAAACAATGCCCTATACACCAGAGCAAAATGGAGCTGCCGAGAGCGAAAATAGAACCTTGACTGAGTATGCACGATCTATGATTCATTCAAAGAACTTGCCAATAAAATTATGGGCTGAAGCTGTAAACAATGCTATGTAGGTGTTGAATCGAACTGGACCAACTCCTGTAGAAGACAAGAGTCTAGTTGAACAAAAACAGTGAAAACAATTTAAAGCACTTGTGTGTTTTTGTAACGAAGTGTTATGTTCATGTACCAAAGCAACAAGCAGAAAGTGGAATAAGAAAAGTGTTGAAGCGCAGTTAGTGGTATATTGTGGTGAAAAAAAAAGATTTTCTTGTATGGACTCTGAGGGATAATAAAGTAATTATGAGTCGTGATGTTGTGTTCGAAAATGAAATGCTGATTCCATCTGTCACATAATTAGTGATCAAAACATCAGAGCCAACGGAACAAGAAATACCGAAAACGAAAACAGAAGAAGTCCAGGTAGAAAGCAAAACAGGTGATTAAACGGTCATCAGCAGTGTAAAACGGACAAGAAAACTACCTACCTATTTAGGAGATTACGCCATGATGGCGATAGCTGAATGCGAAACACCAAATTCCTTTTATTCAGCAATGCAATCCCCTGAAGCTGAACAATGGAAACGTGCAATGGATGATGAAACGTCATCACTTGCTGAAAATGACACTTGGGAACTTCTAGATCCACAACCAAATAAATAAGTGATTGGGTGCAAATGGGTCTTACAAATAAAAACAAAAGCAGATGGCAGTGTCGACAAGTACAAAGCTCGATTGGTGGCAAAGGGATATCTACAAGAAGCGGGAAACCTTTAGTCCAGTTGCTGGGTTTGATACTATTCGATGCATTTTAAGTGTAGCTGCGATAGAAAACTTGAAATTGAAACAATTTGACGTCAAGACTGCTTTTCTCTATGGTCTACTTCATGAGGAAGTGGTGATGAGTCTACCTGAAAAAGGGTTCGACGACGGAACTGACCGGGTGTGTCGACTAAAATGAAGTCTTTATGGCCTCAAACAGACGCCAAGGTGTTGGAATGCAAGACTGATCAAATTTATGAAGAAAAATTGTTTCAAGTGCAGTGCCGCTGATCCCTGTCTACTTGTTCGTCTTAGAGACAATAACAAACTAATAGTGGCGATTTATGTAGATGATGGACTGTTAGCAGCGAGTGATGAGTATGAATTGTCGTCTTTTATCGACGAACTTAAACGAGAATTTAAAATAACTACGGGACCTTTAAGTACTTTTCTCTGAATCCGGGTGATAAAAACTGAGAAAAACTCAGTGTTCATCGGACAAGATGGTTATATCGCAAAAATTTTGAAAACGATTTGCGATGGAAAATTGCAATCCAGTTACTACCCCCTGCGAACGGAATACATGGGACGGAAACAGTCTAATCCTTGACAAAAAAAATTACTTTTCGAGAAGCTGTAGGTAGTCTAATATACATATATGCCGGATATTGCTTATTCAGTTAGTCTGGTTTCGGAGCATCTAGAGAATCCCACGCAATAACCCAGAAGCAAAGAAGTGTGGTTTTGTCTACAACAGAGGCAGAATATGTAGCTGCAAGTGAGGGAGCAAAGGAGGTAATTTGGTTAAAACGTCTCCTGAAGGAAATAACCAAAGCAGTCGCCATCCCAACTTTACTGGTGGACAGTGCCAGTGCTATAAGGCTCTCCAAGAATTACGAATTTCACAAACGGTCGAAGCACATTGTCATAAGGTTTCACTTTGTGAGGGAGAAAGTTCTTGAAGAAACTTTAAACGTGGAACACATTGCAGGGGTGGACCAAATCGCGGATATCATGACCAAACCGCTTTTCAGACCGCGTTTTGTCTACCTTCGAAGTAAATTAGGGTTACGTGACTTAAATGCGTAATAAAGTAGAAAATTGAGTTTGAGGGGAGGTGTTGAAACTATGATTTTTCATCCTCTATTTTCTACATTTATTTTACATAGTAGATACGTCGTTAGTTACGTCAAGTTGTTAGTTGTTAGTTGTTAATTTAATGAATACAGAAGTTTAAAGCACCTATTTTTTCTTTGCCCTTTTTCTTAACCGTACACAGACCTCAACATTAACAATCTTATGACATGTACTGCGAGGTACCCCAGTTTGAAGAGACAGTCTGGTAAGGGATGTTCTCGGATTTTCTTCCAAATGATCTCGGATGTTTTCAACAACTTCCTCATTCACCTTGGAACGACCTGATGATTTCTCCTTTTTAATACTACAGGTAGTAATAAAACGATTAACAATTCGATGTATGTGAGCTGCGAGGGACTTTTCCAAAACATTTTGGTCTGGATACTTGTCTAAAAATTCTTCTTTGCAAGCTTAAACACTGTATGTCCATTCTCCATATCTTTTAACACCGTTACGATAATAAGACATTCTAATGAACTGGTTTTGTTCAGATGTGAAGACCATTTTAGCAATTACATCTAAAATTTTGCGAGCTTATAAATGTATGATTTGCAGATAAAGTTAATACCTTTGTAACACCAACGCAAATTATCTAGCTTTAAAAAAAAAAGCTTTTTTAAGACCTAGAACGCGAGAAACAACAAAACAGGGCTTTGAAAGAACTTAAAATGATTTTGTGCTGAGCTTGTGAAAGTTTGACAGTTTTGAAAGTTTGGGGTTTATTTAGTATTTGATGAATTTGGACGAGTCGGCAAATTCAAATTCCAGTGCCTCCTGAGATCCTACATTTTTTTATAAACAATCTGTATTTAGCAGTATCCATACTTTTTAGCGATCCTGTATATTTGTTGTATTAGGTGGAACGAAAAGACGAATTAGATCTAGATACTGTTTCGACAACGGCCGTTGTCTTCTTCAGGCAATATTAATTTGGGTGGGTTTGATGTTATCATGATGGGGCAAATTGGGTCCTGCCACATTAGTTTACATCGAAAATAATAACATCGAATCAACAATTACAAGAAAATTTCATATTACAATAAGAATTTTAAATTGTCTGTACAACACGAATAAACATTACAACAGCGAGGTTAACAAAATGTTCCCACATGAATTTTCGTCACTTTCTATTATTTCTATTTGAACAAGTTTACCAATTTTCTTTTTTTTTTTCGGTAACTTATGGTTTGACTTTCTTGTAAAACAGAGGTAACTCAATAAAAGCTCTTCAAATGAAACTAACGTACACTACACTGTTAGTTTATTTAATTGTTGTTTTCTATAGTGAGTTGTGGCATAGTATTAATATTTTGTTAAGGGTTTCTGTCACCAGTCATGGTTGTACTGCTGGTCTTAATTTTATTACATTTGTAACAGTACCTACTATTGGTACTGCTACGTGTCATATTATATTTCTACCCATAAAGTTTTTGTTTTATTAACTTTCCTTTTACCTATCAACAGTTACAGTTGGAGACAAATTACTTTGGTCGTCAATATCACTTGAGTGACATTAAATTGTAAAGCATGCTTTAGGACTGTTAACCTTATTCTTAGCCACTGTCAATCATAGTTGACAAGTTGTATGTTGTACATATTTTGATAGGAAAATACAACAGCTGTCATTAATTTGAAATTGTCATTCATTTCAACGCTAAAGCTTGAATTACATTAAAGTGTCAGAAAAGTGACGACCAAAGTATTTTGTCTCCAACTGTACACATAATAATGTGATGAAACTTGAAATAAACTTACAATTACTCCCTAAATTTACACAATTGTGCCATGAAGATATATTCTCTGTTGTTTTGTGATAGCTACTATTGTCACCATCGAGTGGAGTGATTTTATCTGTAGTAATATCATAAGTGGTAAAATTTTGTCGGCAAAATGTTCAGATTGTACGAGAGTTTGTTGCATAGCTGTTTATCAAGTGACATTATTAGAAAATCCTCGAGTTGCAGACGAGAGGTTTTTGAACAATGTCACGAGCTAAATTGGCAACAAAACTCGAGTAAATCAATCGAAAAATTTTGCCATACCAAATTTTACCACGTATGGTATTCGGAGGACTACTTCATGAACAATCAAATTAAATGAAATAACTGTCAAAATATTGAAAACGACAGAAGTTGTTTAGACTGTTACCATGGAGGTAAAATTTTATCACTTGAAAACTGGCTTGGTTTCGATTTTGTTCGTAAATATCCTTCACTCATTGGCTCTAAATATGAGGTGAAGGCGATAACATTTTGCATTCATCATTTTTACTCATTGTTGAATGACGAGATGCTATTGTCCGAAATGTAAATAAATGAAATAGTCAGGTTAAAATAATTGCGACAAAATTTAGTAAATGATAACATTGTCTATAAATAATTGAATAAAATTTAATAATTAATGTTTTGCATCGCCTTTACACTATTTACACCACCCTGCAAAATAAGTAAAGTGTCTTGAGAAGTAAATTATAGCAACCTTTAATGCTCTAAGGCATAATAAACTTCAAATTCAAAAAAAAAAAACTGTAGATCAATTAACCCAAAATTGTTTCCAAATTCACAAATGTTTTATTAATGTCAAAAAAAAGAGAAAAAAACGTTTTTGTTTTCTTTTTTCAAGTTTGGTAATTTTTTGAATTGCTTTCGTTATAATAAAAATTTTCGTTTTACATATACCTACGTGTCAATTTTGTTCAAGGTCCGATTGGTCCGCAAATACTCACTAAAGTAGTGACAATTTTAGACTAGTCTTCCACACAGTGACCACAACACGTGTTCTTTCATGTTAGGTGATAATGTCATCAAAATTGAAGTGCTTTTATTATCGAATCAAGATAATTCTGATGAAATTTTGTAAGTGATAAAAATCTGTATAAATAAAGTAACAGAATTTTAAAAATTCAGTCGAAAATGGACCGAATTTTAGTTATTACATTTGCTCTCATTGCTAGTGTCTTAGGTATTTATTAAATTTATTTTTTTTATAATGTGGGCTACAATAGTCTTTTTTAAAGGAGCCCCACATCACAATGTGAGAATTTATGGTGGCGACAATGCAACTCTTGGTCAATTCCCATTCATCGTCGCTCTTAATGACAATCTGAACCAATTCTGCGATGGTTCCATTGTCAATAAAAATTGGGTTGTTACAGCTGCTCATTGCATCTTTGATGTATCAAACAATTCTACCACAGTTTTAGCCGGAACAAACAAACTGCACTCTGGTGGTATTTCCTACAATGTGTCTCAAGCTCTTTACCATCCAGAGTTTAACCACACAAATATTCAAAACGACATCGGTCTTATTCAAATCGTCGGTGAATTTGCATTCTCTGACAATATTCAGCCAGTCGAATTTATTGAGCCAGAAATAAACGCCACTTGTCAAGCTGTTGGATGGGGAGAAACTGAAACTGGGGCTTTCCCTGAAACTCTACAATTTGTTGAATTGATAGCTTTGGGATTGGATGATTGTAAAAGAATTGCTGGTGATTATGCTGAAGGCCTTTATTTGGGAAAAGAACAAATTTGTGGTTTGGGACATGAGGGACAAGGGGCTTGTTTTGGGGATTCGGGCGGACCACTGATTTGCGATGGCAAACTAGCTGGAATTGTTTCTTATGGTTTGCTGCCTTGCGCTCGTAGCATTCCCGATGTGTATACACGAGCATCGCAATATGCTGATTGGATCAACACAGTAATTCAATCCTAAATAAATGATTTAAAGACTTATTAAAGTCTCTAAATGTCGTTTATGTTTGGTTTGAATTGTGTCTTTTTATCATTACTAAATGGTCTTGACTTTGTATTTGTTCAAATAAAAATCTTCCACATTGTGCATATCAATTTCCATATAGAAATTCTGCAAAAGTCTTATAACACAGGGCGACAAAAAGAAAATCATGTCGTGACAACTTAACAAATTATATATCATTTTATTCATCTCAGGCAGTCAAATCAAATGCACTAAAAAAAATTTCAAAAAGTCATACACACTTTGAAGTAAATAATTTTTTTTCTAATTTAAATGAATTTAAAATACTTTAACTTCAAAAAATTGTATCAAGTAAAGAAACAGTTTTTGTTTATTCTAATTAGAACAAAGAAAGTGCAATTGACCATTTTTAAGCAAAAGAAGAGTCTTAAAACAAATACTTTTATAAAAATGCAATTTTAAGGAAGATTATCATGCGTTTTTCCTATACAGGGTCAGTCACAGGAGAGTTACTTTGAAAATTAATTAGTTTGCAACCAAAAATAACTTTAGCGTATGTAACTGGATATAATATTTTATTTAAATTAATTTAGTAATCAATGTGAGCTATATGAAAATGAGTGAAGTCGTCAAAATGACAAGTAATTGTCTACTGCTTTAAGGACTCTAATTTAATTTTCTGGGGGTCAGTAGTAATCCTCTGACGGAGTTTTTCATTGGGGGCCAATCTTGTCGTAACTTGGCTTCCAGTTTTCTAAATGTTTCATAAACCAGATGCATTCGATTTGGATACCTCTCCAAGTACAGAGCTGCTGCCGCAGGAGCATTTTTCTTGCATGCTCCATGGATTAAGATCATGTCCACTCTTTCGTTATTTGTGTAATAATACATTGTATTAACGAAAATTGACTATTACTGTTTAAATGTCAAAATGAAAAAATGCAAAGTATTTGGATTCAATTTTATAATTTTTAAAAATGAGGAACCTAGACGCCTATGTGAATTGTATAATGGGTTGCTGCCCAAATTATTTCAGAAGTAACTCTCCTGTGACTGATCTTGTATGGCGCAATGCTTGATTGGCAAACCTTAACTTCAAAAAATCATATCTTGAAGACTATTCGGTATATTCTTTTAAAAATCACGATTACAACTAATAAATAGAGAAGAATTTTAAACTCATTTAAATTAGAAAAAAAATTATTAACTTCAGTGTTTGGACTTTTTGAATTTTTTTTAGTGCATTTGATTTGTCTCACTGAGGAGAACAAAATGATATACATACATATAATTATAATATACAGGGTGATGAAAAAAAGGCGCCCACGATTGAAACAGGCGCGTCCTTTTTTATTGAAACATTGTGACCATCATTCCAAAAATAGTCTAAATATATTCTTTTTAAAATTCAAACAGTTTGTCTAACAGCACAAAGCGGCAATATTGTACAATTTTCTTTTACTAAAAAACTATTTCACTCAGGTATTTTTCGTATCTAGGAAAGATATTGTCACCCGCATAAAATAAAAAACTGTAAAGTTTACATAATTTTATTATTCCAATACGATACGACCGAAAGGTATCTAATGATTTCAATTAATTTTTTTAATCTTTGACTTTTTGACTTTAATCGTTCAAATTTCACAGAACAAACAACATTGAAAATTGATTTTTTTGTTGCTACCGTTTCCAATAATTGAATATTACTTGGACATTTTCTGTATCCGAGGATATTTGCAATGTTGCAACATTGATAAATTTTCTTTGGAGCCAAGAAATGGTATCCTAACATCTTCAATAAAGTTTATTTCAATAGACTTTTTACACATTTTTTTAAGAACACCGTCAACTGTATCAAAATCTAGACTTTAACAATGAAATTATTTTAATACTGTTAATTATGTAGATTTCCCTTTTCTAAAAAGGAAAGTCTATATCTTACTGATAAGAGCACAGATCCAATTTTGGTCTTCGAATTCGTCTTTAATAAAAGATCACTTATAACGTGTGGGTTAACAGGGGCGCCTTTTTTTATCATACTGTATAATTATATAATTTGTCAAGTTGTCACGATGACTTTTTTTGTCACCCTGTGTAATAGGCTAGTATTTCCAACAACCTTAAACTTGAAAATTTTCCTCCAATCTGCTTATTTGTAAAATGTGTGGTGTTTACCAAAAACTGATCTTGAAGTCGAGATCATGAACAAACAATTAAAAAAAATGCGTGGTTTTAGGAAACCACGAAGCAAGTGAAACTTTTTTTCGAATCGTAGGCATTTTTCGGAAAATTATTCGATTTAGGGTACTAAAATCGCGTTTCTAAACTTAACTTAATAATTGGAAAATGGGAATGATAATAGGAAATCAATAGTAGACAAGATATCCAACCAACTAATGTGTATAGATCAAGAAACACCTATCTTGGCTTGATAGAGTATTGACTTCAACATGTGAGAGAGAGAGGATGATGGAGAAAGTCGTAATGAAGACAAAGAACTCAACAATAAGATCACGTGGTTTTGGTTAATGTCTCGAAGCTTCGTATTGGCAAGCACCAAATTTAAATAAAGACACTTTGTTGAATCGAAAATTTATTCATTAATTTATTATTGATAATACAAGTAATACTTATCACTTTTTACAGTAAAAAAGTGTGTAAAATGTAACAAACATGATTTTTTAATTTATCTTATGAATTAGGTATTTTTTGGTGTATTTTACATTTTTTAATCTGCAAACTAATAACAATATAAAGACGTATGAAGACTTTTGTGCGGGATAGACTATTACATGCACTAAGTTGCTTTAAAATATAAATAATAACGTAAACATAATATAGGTATAATTAGGAATGAAAAATTGTAAAGAAATATACTAAACAGAAACTGGAAGTAAATGGCTCTCACTGATTTTTAAATAAAATTAATTTTGTGGCGGATTCGATCTTTGGTTTCATTAATAGTCATATTTTTGTGGTGTAAGCGAATAATGAAATAATATTTTAAAATCAAATTAAATGGTTGTTGAGAAGGTTTTGATCAAAAATGTGGTATAATATAAATTAACAAATAATTTAGAAATTTTAAGTTGTTTTTTGGCCAAATAAATTAGTTTTAAAATGACATTTCCAAATATTATACAGAGTGGTTATAAATGATTTTCATCTAGTCAGCTTTGGAATTTTTTTGCATGTAACTTTATTTGTGCCGCTCCACTTTTTTGAAAGCTCTAATTCTGTCATTAGTGTCACTTATTAATTAATAATAAATGGTTGTTAATTAAACTTTTATTGTTTCAACTAATTTAAAACAAGTTTATAATTGAAGTCTATTTTCGAAGTGGACGCTTAGTAAACGGCGATTTTTTAATTTTGAGTTACAACAAGTAGGTACCCCTATTTTCGTAAAGCGGCATTTTTTATTTTACATGGAAAATTCACAGCTGGCTAGATGAAAATCATTTAGAACAATTTTTTTTTAATTATTGAATCATTTTGAACTTCAATTATTCTATCAATAACCTCATTTTTGCCTTAAGTCTCACAGTCTATAAATGTAACTAATATTTTTTGGTAACTAAAATAAGTAAACAATTACATTCTATTTTTTCAATGTATTTAGTAAAAACCGCATCAATCGTAGTACACTTAGTCATACGGTGTGTTATACTGAAACGAGCAAATTTGTAATTTTAAAACGTCATTATTCTGTCTCAATAAGAAGAAAAGTACATTTTCTCTTGCTTTTGGGATTTTTCTCTGCTTTTTAAGTTTCATCACAATAGCGGTTTTATTTTTTCGACAAAAATGTAACTTTGACAAATAATTAATTAATTATTGTAACCGGTATTAGCGGCAAAACAATAAAATGCTGCAAAGATTTGTTGCTATAACTGAATACTGAATATTAATTGTTTCTCAACACTTATAATTGGGATTCACTACTTCTACGAATCGTAAATTAGTTTTGAAAATCCTACTTCCCGTTCATTTATAATAGTTGATAATGAAGAGAACTGCGGAAGGGTAAATTGTTGAGATAATTTGTGACATTTTATTGAATATTTTGGTTTTGGTTTGGTACATTAGTAGGTATTTCTGTGAAAAATAATAAAGCTTCAAAGCGATCCTTCATGGAATTATATTTAGATTATTTCAACTGGACGATCAGGTGAGAAATGAAATGAGGAATTCGAAATTATACGATGGGTTCCTCATTCGCCTCATCTAAATCCAATAGATAATTTATAGGACAATATAGTTCGCGACTGGCAAAATTTTCAACCCAAAGTTCGAGAACAAATTTAAAATTTAAAAAACTGACGAAGCACGTCAATAACGTTTGGGACCATTTCCGCTATTCACAAATTTGACAAAATTTGATGGATAGTATGCATGGACTTCATGAATGTTTAGCCAACAATAGATATCATACACATTACTGATATTAATTAGTGATTATGATAAATAAAATCTTTGTAAAATCTATAATTTTTGCCTTTTATTGAAATAAATACACCATATCTCGTGGTTGGTATTATTCATTCATTTTTCATTTCAATACTAGCTGTATCTTTGTCTTTAATGATCAAGTGAATACCTACGTTATAATCATATTTCTAAAAAAATAAAAATTGAAGGCATGTAAGTTTTCAAGTCAGACGTTATTATATAAAATAATAATTCCAACAAACAATGCTAGTCATGTTTCTTATATTGTAAATAGATGTCGACCATTTCCAGAGGTGTGTTAATTAAAATTAAACTTATGTTTGTTACAGATTGTTGGATCCAAAAAGTTAAAATGTTTATGATTCAATGTATATTAAATGCAAGTTAAATTAATTGAAATTAATTAGAATTAGGCACCCCTGACCATCTGCCATACAATTTAAAGTTGTAATAAATCCTAAGTGTTAAAAAATAAATTATTTCAATTGTGGAAATTAAGGAAAATCCAATAAACAATCCGAAAAGGCCTCCAACATTTGCTATAAAATCCGACACTCCATATAATTCATTTCTCTGAATTGCCAGAAATTGGTCCACTTTAAAATAAACTACAAGCATTGAAAAATGATGTCTAAAAATAATTTTTCAAAACAAAAATTTACAGTAGGTATAAGATATTTACTTGTGTGGTTCTTCAAAGATGTTAGACGTATTTCTCAAATCAAGATACTCCTTCATATAGAAGCGACTATTTGAAGTCTCCACGTTGTAACTCAAACTTGTACAAGATGGTTTACACTCGCATTTTGTTGTAATCCCTGACATTTCATTTTGTAATTCTTGAATACTTAATTCTCCTAAAAAAAAATAAAATTGAACAAGAAACCAAGAATTATTAAATAATTTTTAATTTACTGTCAACTTGTTTTGCACAGTCAAGACTATCAAAGCCACAAATTTTCGTATTTCCAATTCCTAAAAAAAAAAACATTTAAAAAGTCACAATTTTTCCAAATACACGTGATTACTTGGCATAAAATAATGCACACATCCACAGTGATTTAAGGTAAAATTTGTCCAACACTCAAATTGACAATTTTGTTGTGTATAGATCTTAAAATATTTCAACTGACGGTCATTTCCCATGTAACAGTTCCTTTTTTCCGGTTTGTATTTTCGAACAGAGTTAGCAGTTTGAATTAATTGTGGTTCAATCGATGCTGTTACAATTTCATCAAGAGGTATTTGAAAACAAAATTTGCTGGGTCGAGGAATTTCAGTAGGATTATGTAGCAGGACCTAAATTAAATTATTATAGGTTTAAAAGAATAGCTAGATTAATTTACCCTGAATCCTTGATAGTATTTGTTACATAAAAGATCTGTATTATACTGAACATGATGAAATTCTATTTGTAAAGAATTATCAGCCCCCGACATTAACGCTCTAGAAGGATAGGTGATAACATCTGAGGTTAGGTATCCTAAATCATTTTCGTAGCTTAAAGGTTCAGACGTAACGTTTTGATACTTTTTATACCATACACTAAGTAAAAAAATAATTTATTAAGAGAATTCATATCAAAGTCATACGTACACATCCTTTTGAAACATATCTTTTCTATCGAGAATATTAAAAGAATAACAAATGCCTTCATCAGTAAAAATTGGAGTGAAAAGTTCTGCACAATCGAATGCTTCCCCCATGTAGTTACAAGTCGAGAATTCACTAGGTTGTAACTGTGTAAAATCATTTACATTTTGTGGAAGAAAAAAGTTTTGTACAATACCTCATCAATAACATCAAAGAAATCACTTCCAAAGGTTTTCCCACTGTTTTTTAGAAAAATATTTTGTTCAAAATCATTACAAAGGCTACTGACGTATTTAAATTTGAGAAGTCTACCACAAATTATTTACGACAATAAAATAATCGTATTTATTGTAGAATACTCACTCAGATTTATTTAAATTGTTCCAATTGTGTGCTCGCATATATGCATCTGAATAATTGAATTTTTTTTCTGAACATTTCGATTCTGGACAAATTGTTACAGCAGGAAAAGGAATTCTAGAAATTGCAGTATCTTTGGTATCAAAACTCACAACAACCGGATTATTGTGATATTTTTCTATAATTTGAGCAATCATGACCAAACATCCAATCAAAGATGATACAATCACAAGCAACCAAAATATTCTAAAATTTAACAATTATAATAAAAGATAATATTGTTTGAGTTACCACTTTTCAGTTTTTGATCTTCTTTCGGCAAGGTACGATAAGCCATGAATTCCAGTCACTTTTGTATATTCTGCGAAAAATTTGCTCACATTTTGCCGAGGCACATTCATTTTGGTTGAATGTAACATTAAAATTGCTCCAAAAGTATTTAGATTCGATATAAGAGCCACTGATAAGTCATTTATGCGAAACATGGAAAATGCATTAATTATAACAAAAGGTTTGTTTACACGAATATACATATTTTTTGAATCGCTTTCTAAAATGCCGATTTTGGGAACTCAAAATACCCGCAAAATATAACTTTAGGGGATTAGTCTTCTAAAATGTTGTTACTGCAACTTTAGTGGACTCTTTAAAGATCTATTTTGCGGAGTGTTTTGATTATTTTATGTTTACAAATTATTTGTACATAAAATTATTTACATACAGACAGCGCAAGAACTCGCACCCCTATGCCAGCGGCCATAGGTCGCCAAAACGTCCTATACAGGTGGTCCCAGCGAGTCGAAAAATTCCATTAGTGACCTTTAAATGCTAAAATTAAAACAAAAATTGTATAGGACATTGATAGATACTAATCTATTGTATCACCTGAAATTATTTTCAACCATACAGCATGTCCCAAAAATAAATTGCGATACAAACTTCTGTTTTTTTTTTTAAATGAAGCATCCTATATTTCTTGGCATTTTTGGATGTAGCCTTTTAAACCAATGTTTTTACGCTAAACTTTTATTAGTCAATTTTGCTTAGTTTTAGAAATAAGACGTTTTTTTGACAAAAACGTGCACTTTTTAAAAATTTATTACACAAAAACTAAGACAGGTAAAACAAATTTTTTCTTACTTCTGCAAAGATGAAAAAACAGAATTTAAAGCTGTAGCACTTTTTTAGTGTTTTGCATTTGTAAAGATTAATAAATTAAGAAGTTTTTTAAGTTACATAACTTGAAAAATTTAAATGGAACACCCTATTTTTTATTTTTGTATCTAATAGATTGAAAAATTGTCTATCTAAAAAAGTAAACGTTTAATGTCTAGAATTGATAAATGAAAATATATTTAAGATTCAATATTAATTGTAGTAACAATGCTTATCAATATCTGGTCTTTGTTGATAACTATGGCAACTATAGTAATTCCACAACGGATCACTTATCTGTTAATTTATCCAAAGATTGTAAAAGTCGTTATAAATAATGAAATTCGAATTATTTTATTGTAAAAACAAAAAATAATGAATTCAGTTTAACAAAAATGTGATTATTAAGTGATATTTCTTCCATCTCTTGTGCAACTGTGCACTTTTTGGCTACTGAAATAATAGTAATTATTATTTTTTAATGTTTAACGTTAAATATCTTTTTAATTATTGATTATAAACACCTTGCTTTAGTTTTTGAAAACACTAAAATTTTGTTTTAGTTTCTTTGATAATTAATTGTACATCTCAATCGACAATAAAAAACAAATTTGAGACTTTTTCAAACAAATTACACGAACTGTTATGACTTTTTAGTCAGGCTCAACATTAATTAAAATCTTTCTGAGTCTAACATTTGGAATAAAAACCCAACTTTAGCTTCTGCAGAATTTTGTAGGACATTATCTACAGGTTGAATATAAAGTATGGAACCAAGCGGTTTTAAAAAAAATAAGTTAATATAAATTAAAGTAATATAAAAAATGTGATCGTATTTTGAGAACGAAATTTTTGAGTTATGCGATTTTTTTTGCTAAAATTGCAATTTATGTAAAAAAAAATTGAAAAAATTTAATATAAGGTAGATAGTTGTAATCTTTAAATTATTACCTTCATGAGAAAAATGGTTTTATAGTGGGTTGCCATTTAAAAAATAAAAAAAATTGTAGAACTCAAAAACAAAAGAAAATTTCGAAAAATTTTATTCTTGATAAAACATCACATTTTTATAGTATATTTTCATCAATTAGTTTTTGCAAAACGACAAAATTCGACAACACTGTTTATAGGAAACAGAAAAACACACATGTAAGTGTTTTTTACTATAAAAACCTGAAAAATATTAATGGCCAAAATCTTTATTAAATTTTGATTTTTATAACCTTGAAATCTAGAGACCAAAACTTTCATCTGTCGTTACATAAATACCTAATTTTATTGTTTTTAAAACAATTTCTTTATAGTAAACATTGAAAAGCATTGCATTTATAACCACTTTATATAGTTTCACCCTTATTTATTTATGCTAAGATATAAATTGTAATGAGATCATAAATAAAAATGAATTTCTGTATCTATTTCTAGTTTATTTTATCGTACCCCTCAACAACCAGTCTGAATTTCTTGGCCTCTACCCTAAAGAAACAACACGTTTAATAATTATTGCTAGAAGATGTAAGTTTTCCATACAATTGTTTCCAACAGTATTTTTATAAAACACAATCGTATAATTAGAAATTTTGGTAAGTTTTCTAAAATGACCAAACACCTTGAAAGTACCATTGGTGAAGAAACAAGTTGCAGCAAAATATAAAAAATGTTAGCCGAAACTTTTTACTGTCACAATTAGTGGGAATCCCTGAGAAAAGCCACGAAAACGTACCAGTTTTCTACAATCAATCAAAATTAAGCAACAAGTTCGAGTTACCAAACTCTAAAGCAAATAAAACTTATATTTTAGTAATTAAAACAATTACTCGAGTTTGTTGAGAGCAGGGAAGAACTGTAAGTGCTTCCCCCAATTTTGTACATAAATTGATCTTTATATAAGTATACCTTGAAATCATTTTTTACTTGTTACTTAAGTAACATGACATTAAACAAAGTTTATATTGGACTCGAGCAGGGTCTTAATGAAGCAAATAGAATTTATCTTATTTCTTGTGACAAAAGTGATATTATTGCAGCCAAAAAACGAGTGGAAAAGGTACATATCATTTACAAAACCTGCTTTTTAATTCCACTTTTTAGATAATTTACAAAATTGTTAATGCAATGAAAGAAGAGTCTTCGACATTTTCAAAGTTGTATTGGAAAATTTTTGGTGTTGGAAGTATCTACGAAGAAATAAAAATTGGAAAACCTAATGAGTTTGATATTGATATTTTATTGAGGTTGCCACAAAGTCTTCAGTTGAGTTTGGAGGAAAATACTGTTGCTGGATTTGCTAAACTTCAGTTAAAAGATTTCGAATGTTTGTCTTCTCTAGACTCGCAGTTATACAGGTAAGGGAATGGAAGAAAAACACCTTACATTTTGCATATTTATTTTTTTTTAACAGAGATATGAAAATATTTATTGATTCTAACAATTATCTTCTTTCTGAAGAAATGATGTGCTCTTTTATACAAAAAATTTTTAATAATGCATTAAGACACTTTCCCAACAATGTTATAAAAATCGAAAACGAGGAATATAAAGTAAGTCGAAAACTAAGTGTAGAAAAACACTTGAACCAAATTTTTAGATATCTAAAATCCAATACATCCAGCCTGCCCTAACTTTAACTATTGAAAGTTCGAATTTTCACATAAATATTGATCTTGTGGCTTCTTTCATCCTCAATAAAAATTATTGGCCTGAGACAATTCACAATAATAATCCCCATGCATTTCCAAGTGTGAGTATTTCGAAAATTTGAAATCAGGAAAACCAACTCTTATTTAGGATTTTTTTGTCGTTCCTGCAAGACCAGTCGACAAAATTGCCTACAAGGAGAGACTATGGCGACTGTCTTTTCACATTCAGGAAAGACAACTCATTCATAATCGTCATAGAATGAAAGCAGCTGTTCGAGTTTTGAAGGTAATAAAAAATTACTTCTACAAAAATAATTTTAATGCGAGTTTTATAGCGAATTCGTGACCATTTTGAACACCCTGTACACAGTCATGCTATTAAAACCTTATTCTTGTGGGAATTGTCTAAAAATAATCCAGCTTTAAAAACCACTGCATTGTGGAAATCCCCACTTAGTTCTCTTGTAATCTGGGTAAGAGAGAGTTCAATTAAGTTTTATGTTTTATTGATCCGTTATTGCTATTTTAGATGCTGGAACAGTATGTAAAGTGTTTGGATGCAGGCAAAATTTTGGATTTTTGGAATCCAAAACATAACCTTTTGTCCTATCTTTCGAGTGAGGATATTCAACGATGTAGACAAGATATTGCATTAATGATCGACGATATCAAAGAACGACCACACTGTGAAGTTTTGTTAAGTTATTTGAAGTAGTAACGAAAAATTTTGTGAATTCTTATTTAAAAAGTAATAAAGAAGTTTGTTTAACTCAGCCTTCTGAGTTTTTCTATTAGAAAAAAAAAACGTTACGCTCAACAGTTACTATTTTGTCTACTATGTGTTTTAGTTATTATTAATTTATTACATAATTTGTAAGGTTTTTCTTCATTTTTTATTGCAAAATACTAATAATAATTGATATTAATTATTATTTGAAAATATTGTTTTTATTTGTGTATGAATATTTCTATTTTTATTTTTTTCAAAAAATTGCTATACGTACCATTTATTTAACTATTCAAAAAGTTTTAGAATTATAGAATTGTTCTACTCGTAACACTAATGTCACACTGCAGGTAATTATAGGTAAGTCACATTTTTAATAAATCATTACAAATATTATTGTTATTTACTCGGTTTTGTCACTTATTCTTATCTAAAGATTATATCTGAGAAACAATGGTTTATTTCTAAGAAATATATAAAAAGGTAAATTCCTAGGATTTACCATTGATTTTTAGTACATATTATCGTCATGGTGGCCAAGTGGAAAAAGAAATTGTACAATATTTTATAGAATAGTGTCGATTTACGGGTTTTCAAAGAAGCTTCACCAAAATTCATGTCGCCAAAAAAGCCGAAACTGGGTTGTCTAAAGGTTTATGATTTATTTTATGAACTTTGTTTTTGTTTCTTATCCCTTTTTACCTATTATACGAATATGTTTCTATACAGGGTGATTTTTGTAGGGCCTACATTAGAAACTTTTTAACTTTCAATATCGACCCTCTCAACGAAAAACATAATAACTCATAAAAATTGGTTTTGAGTTACGATGCCTTATGTAGGGCCCAAAATACAAAAACAATGAGAAAAATTTTCTTATTCTTATTTCAGCTAAATTACACTGGCCGCCAAAATTCACCGGACAACTAAAATTTTGGGATTTTTTACATTACATTATTTTTGTTATTCTTTGTCGGATTTTGACGATTTTTTTTTGGCTTAAAGAAAAACTTTGTAAATCGTAATTTAATTCAATAACATTTCTAGTTTTTCTGAATTATGAACCACATTTTCCATAATTTTAATTCTTGAGACATGAGAGATACAAATAAAACCTTCAAAAAAAGCATTTCATTTCCAATTTCAATGAATGTTCGTATTAAGTAGGCCGAATATGCCAAAACGTCAAAATAGGCGCATGGAAGCTTCCAATAATAAACCGTTTTACTTGTTGTAATCCTTTGAAGTTCCAAGTTTTTCAGATTTTTTGTTTTCAAAGACGTAATTGTGCTTTTTTGGTGACATAAGCAATAATTTTCGGTTTAACTACCTTTTTACGAAGACTACTTTCTGAACGAATATTTAGTAACATTAGAAAAGCAATGTCTTTTTCAATGCTTTGTACCTATCTCTGGGGCACCAGAAGATAAAATTTTGAAACAAATTGGTCCTCATTCAGAAAAGAACGGGCAATAATCTGAAATAAGTAAAAACTTAATTTTGTCTCTGTTGCACACTACATATCAGTATAAATCAGTGCTCTCGTCTATAACATTTACAAGACAAAACTAGAAATGTAATTGAATTAAATTACAATATTCTGCAAAGTTCGTCCTTTAAGCCAAACAAAAGTTCTTTGAAATCCGACAAAGAATAACAAAAATATTGCAATGTGAAAAATCGCAAAATTTTAGTTGTCAGGTTAATTTTGACGGCCAGTGTATTATCAAAATGCCGTAACTTAAAGGCCATAGCTAGTGAGGGTCAAGTAGGGCTGAGCCCTACTTTAAAACTTTCTCTTTTTAACAATTTTCTTTAGAAATAATAACGCCTAAAATTATAATACAGACTGAACCAAAAGTAACACACAAAATTCATACTTTTGTTCTGAGTCTTTTTTCAAAAAAATCCTTGAACAGGTCGATTTTATTTTTTTTTTAATGCTAGATTTTGACGCTATAGTGACATTTATGACGTCATTCATTTTCGAGAAATAACGTATAGTATACATCGTTATCTTTCTGGTAAGCATAAAAAAAAGAAGAAAATAAAATAAAAAAATATAAAGAAGTTATAGAAAGTTTTATACAAAGAGCTTTATCTTCTTGTTTTTGCCTTATTTTATAAGGGGTGATTGTTTTTTGTTGTTATTTTTTGTGTTTAAGTTTCATTACAAGTGTTTTCATGTTAATTATTAAAAAAATATACAAAAAACAATTGCCCCTTATAAAATAAGGCAAAAACAAAAAGACAAAGCCTTTTGTGTTTTATTGTCAATATTTTTTTATTTTTTTTTATTTTAATTTATTTTTTTGTATTACCAGAAGATAAAGATGTGTGCTACTTAAAACAGTGAACAAAAACGTCAGTTGTCATTCAAAAAAAATTAAAATGACGTCACAACTCAAAAACTAATGACGTCATAAATGTCACTATAATGTCTTTTTGAACTGACTGAAAAAATGTAGCTATTTTAACTTTTAAGCAAACTTTTGTTTGTTCTAGCCCCACAAAAAAATTTGGGCGCCCTACTCTAGCTAATGCTCAATGTTTGGCGATATTTCATACTAATATACAAGATGACTTTTTTTAAACAAGCCACCTTGGATATCTCAGAAAAATAAACAAAAATTAGAAAATCCCGAGACAGGTAAAAAATACTCAAAAACTCAAACAAAACACACATCCAAATTCCTGGTCAAAATACCTTTCATTTGAGGTATCAGTAGTACCATTTAAAATTTTGAAGGGGTTGTCTGTATTACCAATTACATTAAAAGTACATTAAAAAGTGTCCCTTTTCAAATAAAAATTGACTTATCTTGGGATTTTCTAATTTTTTTATTTTTATGAGACATCCAAGATGGCTGGTTTTTAAAATCATCCTGTATATTAGCATAAAATATTGCCAAACATTTTGCGTAATTCTTTTTGGGTCATATTACACTCACACACCATGTTTTCTCATAAATTTCTATGATGTTTTGGTTTTCCAATTTTCATAGTATCATTATTTAATTGTTTATGACGGAACAGTGTCAGTTTTTTCGGAGCTAAACTATTGTTTAATAATATTGTTGTTAATTTTTAAAATTTTAATAAGCTTCTAAAACTGAATTTAACTTAAATCTAATTATAGTGATTTTCACCACATTATCCAGAAATATTATTTTGATTATACTTTTATTAATCTCACATAAATAAAACATTACATACATACTTTACATACAAACTGCTATAACTTCGTATACATCTGGTCACCGGTAATATCATCAGGTACGTTATCATATTTACTTTCTCTAATTCTTGTTTCTTGTATCAAATCAGGTAAAACCTCCTCATTCAAATACAGCAAAAGTTCAAACAATTTAAAAAATTTAGGCACTTTTTTCTTGTAAGTCGAAGAAGCAAGTGTTGTCATCCAAATGTCGCACAAAATAATAGCTGACATTTTGTTCTGTTTACTATAACGCAAAACCTTTTTTAAGTGTTCGAAAAGTAGTAAAAGAGCGTCTTTTCGAGGAACTCGTTGGACCATTCGTCGAATTTCATTCCGTAAAACGGAATCTTCTAAGTTATCTGAAACAATAACAATTACATAAAGATTTTGAAATAGATCATTGTAGCAGACTCACCACAGATTTCGCAGTACTGACAGAAAAACTCGTTAGGAATTAGAGGTTCTTTTAGTGTCGACAGAAATTTTTTGAGGGTACAACAGAGATCATGTATGTCATTTTTTTCGTCAATTTCAGACAAATTTTCTTTCTCTAAGTGTTTGATTATCTTGTCGATTTTTGTATTTGAACCGCATTTTCGGTAAATTCCTTCAGCTTCAATACCGGTGTCGATTATTTTTGTTAGTTTTTGAACTACTTGGTAGACAAAATCTCGGGTTTTTGGTACGTACTCCTGTAAAAAAATTAAGATAATTAACAAAATAGAAAATAAAAAGTCTTCAAGAGTGTTCACACATCTAGAAATTACTTTCTTACGTCTGAAATGAATTCTGGATGATCCTTATAGTAACAAAGTAATTGTTCAGTAACTTTCGTAAATCCTGTTGTTTGAGACACTAAATCCGAACAACTACTAGGCAGTGTTATTAAAGTGGGACCCCAACATATCGATAAATTGTAAAAGTCCATTTTATTGTCTTCTTTACGTTCACAAACTTTTAACAAGTGTTTGATGATGTATAGAAGAGTAGCTCGACTGGGTGCTGGGAGATTATCAACAATCGTTCTAATCTCATTTTTACCATTTGCTGAAACACGAAAATATAAAATTTGTGCACATTGTTTTTATTTTCGGATAAAGTATTTAATATTTAGTCCGTAGCGCTGCAGACTAATAAAAGTATACTTTTTTGAAACTTAATAAAATATCTAGTAGATGGCAGTAAAACGGCACGAGTACTTCCGTCTCTATTGGCTATTTACTCCTTTCCTCACTACAATACGCTAGCACTATTTTACCATCTATTTCAAAACCCTTGAACTATAGAAAGTTAATAGAAGATTAGAAAGAAAAAGATTAAGAATTTTGAAAAAAAAAGATCAGTGGCGAAAATATTTGGTAAAAAAATCATTTTTAACTCAAAAATAAATGAGCTGTTTTCATGATATGTATGTTAAAAACCGAATTGTTATAACATTTAAAAAGTGTAGTGTCGTAATGATTTTTGTAGGTTTTTAACACTCAATCAAGATTAAGTTAAACCTTATCATTTTCACAACACGAACATAAATAAATCTGTTTTATCTACATACGTAAACTACGGTTCATTCACACTGTTAATTTAAACTTTGTGAGTTTGTCATGGTATTTCCAATTTTTTTTATTTTGAAACTTCGATCTAGCAAAAACTGCATGCAACTTGTTAACACATTATGATCCACGATTAACACCAAAAAATATAAAAACACTAAGAGAAAATGCAAACTAATAATATTCTTCAACATTTATTATTCTTTTCTTTCAAACCATTGGTTTGAGGCATTTGGTACAAAACTTTTTCAAAGACAATTAAACAAAGAATCCAAAAATAATAAAATATACAGGCTGCTTCATTCAAGAAAAAAATTGATGACACTTCCGGTGAAACCGGAAGCAGCATTGATTGAGCATGCATCCCAAAAACTAGATAACAATAAACTGTGAAACTTTGATTGAAGAAGTATTGTCATATCTTTAATAAAGTTATGGCTTGGGGCGTTTTATACAATCCAGGCTGTATAAAGCAGATAAAATTAATTATTTTTAATATATATTTTTTGTTCATTGTTGTACTAATAAATAGATAATATACTTCCAAAAATTAAATTGTAAACAGGTTTTTCAAAAATACAAAAAGAAAAGATTATGAAAAGAGTCACAAGTCACAACAAATCTTTCTAAGGTCACCATAAAAAATAAAAAAATATGCATTATATTAAATTAACCATTTTTTTATGAGTGTTTGAGTATTTTTGATAAATTTGAATTGCATAGTGTTTTGAATATCAAATCATTTTGTTTCGATCACGAAAAATCTGTTTTATGCAATTTCGGGTATAACCAAATTGGATTTAAATTAAAGGTATCTTTATTTATATCAAAAATGTCAAATAGATCGTGTAAAACCGATCCCAATTTGTTTTCTTATATCTGTGGAAAGTGTGCTACGAAAAAGCATTTTCCCACGACCATAAACGAAAGTGACATTTTCCATTCAGTCAATTACTCACGAAAATTGGCGATATTGATTTTGTCTTGTGAAATAAAGTAATTTTTATCTACTGTTTATATTCAAGAAATTCTGGTATGTGAGTACAAAATAAAACGAAATATTATACAGGATGATAAAGATTGTTTATCTACCCGTGAAAAAAGTCCACTCATGACTTCGTCACTCGTAAACTTAACCTTTTTACTCGTAGAAAAAAAACAATTTCTTTATCGTCTTGTATAATAAATAACTATTGATTTTTTTTTCAGAAATTAACTAGTATT